TCACCACAGTTACAGCCACATTTCTAGACAAAGACAAGTGTCCAGCGCTACTGCAGCCCCTGCCCACACCTGAAAACAGTCCACTCCTATCACCTGATAGAGGCCCAGGGTGACATTTTTTTTTTGAGCTAATCTGCAGAATTCAGTCACAGCAGGGTCCAAGTGACCATCAGAAGGGTCAGAGGCTCATTCAGAGGGTCTCAGACCAGTGCTAGGCCCCTATGTGCCCAGAGAGGCTGCAGCACAAGGGAGGTCACCACCAGGCCATCTGCCTTCGCAGTGCTACTAGGGATAAAGCATAAGTCCAGAGACTTGTAAATAAACGAAGCATCACCTTCCGCATGCTCGTAGTCCTGCACCTGAGGGTTCTCGAGGGCCAGGTGATAGCAAGATCCATAACTGGGGGGAGGAAGACCCTGCCAACGACAACAGTGCCACAAAGTTACGGGACCTCGCAGGTCACGGCCAAGTTCGGATGAGAACCAGTCAGGAGAGTAACCCGACTAGGGCAGCCCTGACAAGCCCGTGACAACTGACAGATGGCCCCAACTAGCCACAACCTTTGCAAGGGGAGCCTAGTTGACCTATTTTCTAAGCATTTTCTGAGATCAAAGTTCACTGAAGAAAAGGAAAATGGTCGCTTATAACTGACTCATCTCCAGAGTCACAGCACAGATGTCCATGCCCCATGGCTTCTCAGAGGGCGTGTCCCCCCCATGGCGCCCACTGCTCAAGACACACGCTGGCCCCCATGCCCCTATGCATGGCTCCCATTGCTGTCCCTGAGCCTGAGGGTGCAAGCCTCAGAGAGGCTCCCAGCAGCCACCTTTCCTCCAGCTTCATGAGGACACAGCAATGACGCATGTGCTGTGCATCCATGCCAGTTCTGCTGTCATCTCCCTGAACCGTGTCGGCTTTGAAAAGTTACCTAGGCCAATGCCTCTCTCCCCTAGGAGGCACGCGTGGGAGCTGACACAACTAGCACTCAGACCTATTGCAAATTCAGTGTTTACTGAATTGAATGAGATACACAATAGGGGGGAGAGGACACTGAAGGAAGCAGGGTTCAGAAGGGCAAGGGGGACAGATAGGTCCAACGAGTAAGATCACTTTGGTCCTTATTTCAAATCTCATGTGCTAGGTAGTTATGTAGCAGAGGAGGTGAGGGACAGCCAAAACACAATCCATAGTCCGCTCCCCAAGCTAAAAGACTTGGACCTGCCTCCATCCAGACGTTAGACAGTTTCCTTAACTTTTCTGTGCCTTGGTTTCCTCATCCGTGAAACAGGGGTGATAACTGCCAGGGTGGGAGGGTGTTTGTTCTCAACTCTGGGTGCTCAACTTGCCTACCTCTCCCGTAGTTCTTTATTCACTCCACCCAAAAGAGGAAATGTGATTATCTGCTAGGTTAATTAGGAAAGGAAACCATCATCAGACTCAGCTGCACCCTTGGGAGCAGGCTGCTCACCCAGAGGCTGCTCTCACCCGTGAGGTGACCCTCCCAGGCCTCAGGGTGAGGTAGGCAAGTCTGTATGACTCAGGGCTCAGGGCCTCACCACTTGCTGTGTCTTCTTCCTTTTCTCTTAACTATCAGTGCCAGGTTGTGTTTTACCCTAACTCCCTGTACCCTTTATGTTGTTTGTCCGCTTATTCAGAATTTAACAGAAGAATGCTAATCTAATCACAACTCAGGGAAAAACAACAACAATGGTGCTGCCTCAATGAGTTACTGAAAAACAACAAGAGAGATTAACTGAGATTAACAGACACAAGTGCTTAACAAAAGCAGTAAGTGACAGGCAAACAACAAAGGCCCCCGATGTTTGCCCACCGACCAGTATAAAGGTTAACACTGTTAATCACATGTTAAATAACCCTGCTTATATTTCACCTGGTACTGCAGGAAGGGGCTGCTACTCTCTTCCTGCAAGACAAAGTCCAAGCTGTCTGTCGAGGGTTTAATAGAGGGCAGAGCGGGTCCCAGTCCCTGTCAACAGACCCCAGAGTCCACGTGCCATGGTGCCTAAATGCCCTGTAAACAGCAGGAACTCAGGAATTGGATGGTTGAAGCAGAGAGCTCAGAATAACCCTGGAAGCAATAATAGGCCAGCAAGATGCATGAGCTAGGACACTCGAAAATCACCTCCCCGGTAGCCTCATTTATAGTCGAGGACATTAAAGTGCAGAGGCGAGATAGCCAACCCCAGTCAGCTGAGACAAGGGCCAGAGCCCACCTCCTGCCACTCCAGCCGCTCCTCTTCTCAGCACTTGTCTCTCCCAGCCACTGCAACCAGACACGTTCCCATGTGGTAGACTGGAGAATTGCCCCCTTTTCCAGTACAGATTGTTCTAATGGGCAAAACACAGCCCTGTGCATCAAACCAAAGACAAGCAGGTTTTGACATACAGAGGGAAGAACAATTTTCTAATAGTCAAAATCACACACAAGTGCTGTGGGAAGCAGTGAGCTCCTCATCACTGGAGGTATTCAAGCTGAGGGCAGTCACCACCTAAAGGCTGTGGGAAGGATTTCTCTCAGGGAGAAAGTGACATCTCTCATTCCTGTATCCATTAACTCTGGAGAAAGCTTCCTGGGCTCTAACCCCTGTTCAGCCTCTTCTAGGCACAAAAACTAGAGCTAGTAAAACAACTCCTCGTCTGGAAAATGGGATCATAATGGCATTTCCCTCGTATAGCTTTTATGAGAATTAAAGAGTAAATGACTTAAAATCCTTAAAACGGTGTTCTGCACAAAATAGGCCAATACCAAGTTATTCCTACTGTTACAATTGCCATTACTGCATGTAGTCATAATATTAGACACATATTCAGTGAGTACCTTCTATGTACCAGGAATTATTGCAGGTGCAGGGAATATGAGGGTGTCTGTTCTTATGGATTATATAGTCTATAAAAGGGGAGGCAAATAATAGATAAGTAAATAAATAAAATTATTCCTGATAATGGCAGCTGGTTTTGTGGCAATAAAACAGAGCAGCGATGAAGGAGGTGAAGTGTAGTTAGTCAAAGGGAAAACGCTCTGAGAACAGAATATCTGGTTGACATGAGGAGACAGATGAGGTGATTTGGGGTCAGGGACTTCACAGAAAGCGAACAAGTCTATTCTCCCTCATGTGGGGATAAGCTAGACATTTTGGGGCAAAAAATTGAGAGCTAATACAACTGGGGCAACTCTGAAGTAAAGGCAGGCTGGCCCTAACAAGATGCTAAGTTACAACTACAGAGTCATAGCAGTAAAAGTTGGGATCATGTGGTTCTAAGTAAAAAAAAAGGTCAAAGACCACACAGACCATCTCTGTTTTGGAATAAAGAGCACTTCATAAATCAATGGGTTAAGAGCAGATTACAGAGTAGAGAGGCTTGAGAAAATTGTCTTAGTAACAAAGAATTTTTTTTTCATGTTAAAAAGGATTAAATGCTTAAATGTGAAAGTTAAAACTATAAAGTTAACAGAAAAAATATAGGGGAGTATCATTGAATTCTAAAGGTAAGAAAGAACTTAATAAAGAAAACTTTAAAAATACAAATCATATACTAAATAAACAATTGATTATTCTGAAATTTAGGATTTCTGTTTAACAATGGATTTAATGGACAAAGTTATTAGCCAAATCAAAGAACGATAGAAGGTATTTTACAAACTCTAAAGCCAACAAGAGATTAATAACAACAGCAACAAAAATGTATATCCTCTTTGGAGGAAAGCAACATTAGCCAGAACCTATATAATTACTCATATACCTGTCTGGATTTCAATCAAAATTATCACAAATGCAAAGAAAAAGGGCAAAACAATCGAAAGTGAAAAGAGATATAGGTAATAGCAACAGACCCATAGGTGATCCATAGGAAGTCGCTTTAGCAGCAATTTTAAAATGATTATGAATAATATGTTCCAAAAACCAAGGGGAGAGATGGAGAATTTTCAACAAAAACTAAGGTATTCTTAAAAATAAATATAAATTCTAAAACTGAAAAATAAAATAATTGACATTAGGTTACTGGATCTATCTAATAGAATATGAGACATGGCAGAGGAGAAGAGATATGACTGGGAAACAGATCAAGAGAAAATATCTAGATTGAAATACAGAGAGAAAGAAATGGAGAAATATAGGAAATAATATTTTTAAAGAACTTCAGACACAGTGGAAACATTCCAAATTAAAACTGAAAAAGAGATCCAGTGTAACCCAAGAAATTATTTAAAGGAGTTACTAAAGAAATAATAAAGGAAATATTTTGAGAAAAAGGAAAAGGTAAATGAAGTAATTATTAGAATAAAAAAATTATGACTGCATTAAGAAGTCCACATGTAAGCTGCTTATAAGGAACAAGCTTTAAATATATACTTGAACATAGTAGAATCTCAATAAATATCAAAAGATTGAAATCACATAGAGTATATATGTCCATGGTGGGAATAAGCTAAAAATCAAGATACCATAATCTGACAAGACTATTGCAAGAAAGAAAATCTGCCAGCCATTATCTTCCGTGAACTTCTACACAAAATATTAATAAATTGAATCCAACAATATATAAAAAGCTAATAGAGCATAGTCTATTGAGATATACTCCAGGAATGTAACAATCAATGTAGGAATTAAGATTATACTGAAAGACTAAGAGGAGGAGAAAGGATTGGGTAAAAAAAAGAAAAAAGTCCCAAGGGAGTCTTGTGGGTGCTGACTCATCGCCACATCTCTGGCCTCCCACAGAAAACATCTCTCATACCACATTTACCTGACCATGTTACTGCAGGTTTGTTTGGGGACCATCCACTAAAGCCTTCTTGAACTCTGAGGACCAAGGAAAATATAAGAATCTGCCCCAGCTTCCCAGCCTGTTTTCTCCCCAACTAAATCGCCCTTCCCTCCATCCCAGGCTCACTCTGAGAGCCCACAAGACTATGAAGGTGCCGCAGGAGCCAGGAGGGACTGGGCAATTCTCTGGAGATGGTCAGCATTGTGGCTCACCTGACGGGTGGGGGCTGGCTCCCCTGCCGCTTGAAGGCCCTTTCCAGCCTCTCCTGGGTAGACCTGGCATTCCCACCAGGCAAGTAGAAATTCAAGGAGGGCCTGTTGGCCTCTGGGGTTCCGTCCACTGCTGGGCTATCTTCTGAGAGGTCTCTCCACCAGCCCCTCTCCCTGTGGGGCAGCCCTTTGCTTGGCAAGTGAGAAGGGCTTCCGGGAGTGGTTCTCTGCTTGTCTGAAGACAGCTCGCTGTGCTGGTCCAGGGGGCTCCTGGGAATGGAGCCATTGCTCAAAGCCAGGCCTTCCTGGGGAGCAGGGCAGGCCTGAGTGCAGGCGGAAAGCTCAGGCACTTTCTGGCTCTCTTCCTCATGAGGCTGGGTGATGTTGCTCAAGGCCGAGGACCGCCTCAGAGAGCGCTTGCGGAGGGAATCCTGGAAAGTACAAGGACACCAGCAGTGAGGCGCCCCTTTATGGGGAGGAGGGCAAGACTCTCCCACAGCAAGCATTTGCCATGATGTTCCCTGTCCCAGAAATTTCCTTCCCCAACTCTTCTGAAGATCCTAACTAACTTTTGAGGAGATACTTGAAGCCTACCACTTGAGCAATGCTTCCATTGTGCTGACCCACAGGCATAAACCCCAGAAGCATGTAGCAGCACCCCCTCCATTTCCCTCAACAGGCAGCAGGTTCCAGGAGCAGATAAAGCTGGAGCTCAGACCTGTGTTCCAACTCCTGCATCACGCTGCCAGGTGTGTCTCCTGGAGCAAGTCACTGAACTTCTGTCACTTCCCTCCCCAAAATATAATGTGTCCACAAGCCACTAGCTGCAATTTCTAAATCTTTCCCAACATAGAAGTTTCTTTTGGAATTCTTGACAAATTCTTTTTAACTGTTAGGGGTTGGCCTGGTCGTTCAAATTATGAATATGTATATGTTTAATAGCAGGAATGTTAATGTTTTTGCTTGTGGGTTGTTGCTACCCCCAAACCCACATGGTATGTGGTTTATGCAATGCATTTCCTTTCTGAAACTAAAAAAGAAATTCTAAATTCCAAAGTACATCTGGCTCAAAGATTTTGGATGTGGAACTGCAGACCTGTCTCCTACAAAACCACAGTAAGGATCTAATGAGAGACGTGTGTAAAGTTCTGGCACAGAACCAACCATCAGCACAGTCAGCTGCCAGCTGGTACTATGTATCTGCCCCGTCACCACCTACTGATGCCTCAACTCTACCTGCTGGCAGACCAGGAGACCAGAGGCCATTCTTGACTCACTTCTGGTGTTCACAGAGCTAAGGGCTCACTGACTCAAGCTCAAATTTTGCTTTGTTTTTGAAGTGAAGGCATTCCAAAGAAGTCAGCTAAAATGCCCTCTCAGTATCAATGATTAACTGATTAATGGAAAAACTCATGTTGATACCAACCTCTGGTGGGGCAGTGGAGAGGGAGGGGACAGAACCCTGGACTTTTCCTGGGTTTAAATTTCTGGACCTCTCAGTATTCCCAGAAATAATCCAAAACCAAGTGGTAAAACCTGTGTTGGAATCTGAACAGTTAATTCTGTAGTGTAGTCCCCTAGTGGAAATTACTAAGCACTATAAACGCCCTGCAAAAACCAGACATGCGGGGCATCCCCTGCCACATCCCCTGAGGAAAACATTAGTCACCATTTCCAAAGACACTCGAACTTGCAGCTAAGGGCAGGAAACCCTGCCTTTTATTCATCCCTTATAAGTGTGGAGTTGCTCTAATATTAAAAATGATGAAATACTTAGCAGACCTTGCTCATTTTTTTGAGCAACCAATAAGCATGACCAATGTACTCAAAGACTCACAAAATACCTTCCAGAAAACTTGAGAAAACAACCCACCCTTTAACATCCTGAATCTTGAATTACAGGATTCAAACAACCCACAGGGAAAGCACACTCCTGAAACAGTTACTCAAAGAAGTTTCCAGCAATCTCAGCAGTACAGCAGATCCGCACGCCTCACCCATGAGGGGGTCTCAGCCGCACACACATGTTTAGTGTGTCACAGTAAGACAAGACCTGAGCATTTGTGTAACAGTTCTCAGAGTGGGATCTCTAGCACCAGGCCAACACAGGGCCACACACCCCACTCTGAGCACACAGAGGGGTGAGTGGCTGCTCTCTGGGAGCTTAGACCCACACTCAGGATGGCTGGCAGGGTTCGTGTCCCCCATACTCTAACCCCATTCATTGGAAGAAACTACATAAGGTGAACAGAGGGTTCTGAAGTCACATCCAAACTTGACAGGAAAAAGCACTGAGATCAACAAGCAACATCTGCCACAAACAAGGCAGCATCAGGGGACACAAGCCTAAAGCCACAGAGCTGCCAACCCATGGCTAACCTGTCCTCCCTCCACATACGAATAAATGTTTTAGGTTCTACCCCACTTCCCACAAGTTTTTCCCAAGAATAAACATTCTCCATGGGCCCTCCCTGTTGATGCAGAGGGTTAAAGTGCAGCACTGCAAGCTAGCAGCAGCTGCTTCAGTGTGAGTTCGATCCCTGGCCCCAGAGGTGACCTACATGGCATGGCAGACCTCTCCTGACCCGCCCAGCAGTGTACTCTGTCAATCTGCCTGTTCTGCTCCCCACTCTGTCTCTGGTGAATCCTCTCACCGCCCCTGCACCTCGGGCTTATACCCCAGTTCTGTATGCAAAAAATAATAAAATAAATCTTTTGAAATAGAAAAATATATATATTCTCCCACCTTTCAGTTTCCTGCAAACTCTTCACCTTCCCAGTTCCTTTCCTCTGGGTATAGCCCAGCTTAGGAACCAAGATGTCAAGGAGTGGCCTGAATGTCCCAGAGAAGAGCTGACCCTCATCCCCCTTGATCTGGACACCAAGACTGCATGACCATTCCCAAGCACTACTACCCAGTCCTCAAAGGGGATTTTGACACCTGATCTAACAAATAAGACCACAGCCTAGAGAAAAAGACCAAAAAGACCTTCCTGAAAAATCTCAGACTAGTCAGAGACAGGTCACTTCCTTCTGTCCCAATTGCAGAACAACTGGGAGAGCAGTGCTGGCTTCTACAACCCTGTCCACAACTAAACATACAGCATGTGAGAGTGTAGGTGGCCAAGTGTGGACACGTGACCTATTTGGTTCGTTAAGGCTCCCGAACTTGATGGATACTAAGCTATGAGTTTGGTGCTTGAATTGCCTTTGTTTTTCTGGGTTGTTTTTGTTGTTTTGCAAACTCCTTTTACATTCTTTCTCTCATTTGATTTCATCTGCCCACCTAGTGGGACCCTATCACAATCCCTCCTTCAGGAACACTATACAACATTAAATTTTAAGAATATTTTTCTGAAAGAAAAACGAATGAAGCTATAATTTCTCCTTTTCTACTCATCAGAAACAGTAAGCGCAATAATCTCACCTGTGGGGAGCTGGCAATGGGCCCAGCCATCATGCCTCGGACAATCAGGCCAGACTTGGGCCTGATCTTCTCTCCCATCTTTTTCGTGTCCAAGGAAAGCTCAGATGACTGAAGCCTGTCCATCTTCTCCCACGCAGGGGCCCAGGGGGAACTTTCATCCAGGACATTCTGCATGGGCTTATTTTTGTGGGGGGCTCTTTTAGATGATATAAAATTACCAAGTACATCCCCATCAAGATTGTCAGGTCTGCAAAAAGGGGATATTTCCATTACAACAGTCTCAAATAAAGTTACTAAAAATGACACTAAATTCCACATTCAAACTCACTCATGGCAGGCTCATTCAAAAGCCACAGTAATAGCTAACCACCCAGTGCTCTACAATTAAAAAAGAGAAAATACTTTCACATCAGGTTACCTCTGGCCTACACAAAATAAGACCAGGGATCAAGAAAACAAAATCAAAGTTGATGACCCATGACAGGATCCTTCAAATCCTCAATAGAAATAACATCCTTGCTTCTTGGAAACCCAAGTAATAAAGGAAACGTGTAGCCTTCAGTACAGTCGTAAGATGTGTGGGTCCCAGCCTCTCTGCACACCACCTCTGCAAACTTGGCACTCCCCACTGCTAAGATTCAGTGAAATGAGGCATGCCAGCAGCTTCACTTCTTGAATTGCTTGTCATTGAGCAAAAGAAAAAGAGTAAGAGAAAGATAGGGCTGTGTGTGAGAGAGAGGACACTAGAGGGTGAAAGACAGTAAGAGCAAGAAAGGAGTGAAAAAGAACAAGCTAAGCAAGAAGCAGAGAAAGAGCAAGAGACCCAGGTAAAGAGGAATCTTACCTGTGATCACTCACGTAACCCCTCTAACACAGTTGGGGTTACTTCCTATCATTGACCTCTGGCATTGTCACCCACTCTGCGCCAAGCTGCTTACCAGAAGGGGTCCCACATAAGATAAGTGGTTACATGTGCTATAATGGGGGCATGTCAAGCAGAAGAAAGTTCTGGAATCAGCCTGTGGAAACCTAGAAGGGCTTCTAGCAAAGGCAGCAGACCCCAGCATATAAATCTGCAAGAGCAGGATCTACCCAGGCGAGTCGTGGGGGCAGAGGGTAGAGAGGTTTTACAAATTACCATAAGGAGTTTGAACTTAATTTTGAAATCTCCAGGAAGTGTCTCAAGATCTTTCAACAGAGGAGCAACATGGTCAGAATTGTTTTGTAGTAAGTCCACACATCTTGGATCAAGGATGGGGTCCAGGAAAAGTTCACTAGCGGCCTGAAGACTAGAGAAAAGGCCCTGGGAATTAGCCAGGGAAAAAGTGTGTGGCCTGAGTCCACTGCCATTGGGGCATAGAAAAGGGGGACTCTGTCATCATTAAGCACTCAAACATGAAAAAAAAAAAAAAAAGACAAAGAGTCCAAGTTAATACTCAAGTTTGCAGAGTAATTGGATAGGATGCAGGAGTTTCAATTATAGCACTGCTTTAACTGGGTTACTTTGCATTGAACAAAAGAAAAAGGGTAAGAGAAAAATGAGGTGTGGGGAGGTGTAGTGGATGAGAGAGAGCAGACACAGAGGTTGAGAGCCAGTAACAGCAAGAAAGGAGTGAAAAAGAACAAGGTAAGAAAGAAAACCTTTTATTGTATGAGAAATATTAATTTATCAGTCAAGCAATAAGTGTCTTTGAAGGATGGGCTCTCTTCTTCCTATAATTCTCATCTTTTACAGCTTTAGCTTTGAGTTTAATATTCTCATATGGTCTTTTGGCAACTTGACACCCAGACGTTAAGCTTTGGCTGTCCTCAGGAAAGGGGGTGCTGGTGGAAAATACACATCCCCAGGAAGTAAGATTCACTATTGGTGACTACATGCAGCATTTAAGGTTTTAATTTAACATGGCTATCTTTGAATGAACACAAGTTCAATCAAAAATACTTATTCCTTTCCTTTTCTAAGTTCTAAAGGCCTTATTTTTCATATCTTTCCATCTCTACTGTACTTCGCTGCCTTTTAGAATTACATATCACTGCTTTTTTTTTTTTTTTAAGAAAATTAAAGCAAAGCAATTTCCTAAATTTTACATATCAGGGACTTTAAATATTTTTAATCATATGCATCCTCCATCGTGTGGCCTCTAGAGGAAAACATAGTGCCTCATCTCAGGGGTTTTGAAAGCAGAGTTGGGAGGTTGAGTCATGGCCCCCAGAGATGTCCAGTCCTGATTCCTGAAACTATAAGTACTTATACAGCAAAAAGGATTTTAAAGGTATGATTAAATTAAGGATCTTGAGATGAAGAGATTATCCCAGAATATCTTGGTAGGGGTAGAGGGGAGCAGAATCACAGGGCCCTTATTAGAAAGGAAGGAAGACCAGAGTCAGTATTAGGAGCTATGACAGAAGTAGAGGTTATAGTGACAGGATCTGAAGATGGAGGAAGCAGCCACAAGCCAAGGAATATAGGCACATTCTAGAAGTCAAAACTGGAATGAAAACAGATTCTCTTCTCAAAGCCTCTAAAAGGAACCAGCCCTACTGACACCTTCCATTAATATAGTGAAACTGCTCTTATACTTCTGCTCTCTGGAACTGTAAGACAACAAATTTGTGTTGTCTGGGATACTATGATGGTTAAATTTTATGTCAGCAAGGTTAGGCTGTGGTCTCAGTTATTAGATCAACAGCAAAGTAGATGTTGCCATAAGGTATTTTTTGGATGTGATTAACATCTAAAATCAGCTGACTACAAAAAATAAAGGCAATTACCCTAGTTTATATTGGTGGGCCTCCTGCAATCTGATGAAGACCTTGAAGAGCAAAACCAAAGGTTTCCTAGAGAAGTAATTCTGCCTAAAGACTCTGACATAGAAATTCTACCTGAGCTGCCAGCATGTTTGTCTTCCCTACAAAATTCAGACTTGCCAACACCCACAATTAATTAAGCCAATTCCTTAAAATTAATATATATATATACACACACATATATTTATATACGCTTACATATGTACATATACACATTCATGCACACACATACCCATATATATAAATTACTCTATCAGTCCCCACTGGTTTTGTTTCCCTAGAAAATTTTGACTGTTAGTCACTAAGTTTATAGTAATTAACTATAGTAGCAATAAGGAATTAATCCACAGTGTAAATAAGACAAGATACCTGGATTTGTTTGTTTCTGGTAATGATGTTCTCCATCCTGCATCTTCATTTGCAAGGTTGTATATATTTACCAGTGTGGTCTCTGAGCACCTCCCTGGCAACTTGTTATTTTTCTTTGGAATTGATAGTGCAGGGATTGCTGTTCCTTGAGTGAAATTATTAGCAGTGTTTTCAAAATGATCCAGAAAATATCTGGTAATGAGTTCAAGATTTGTTTTTAGAGGATTTTCCTTTGCCTATCATTGGAAGAAAAAAAAATATTAATTGTGTGTACAGCTTCAGGGGAAGAATGAGAAGGATGGCTATTCCAAGCTTTGACATAAATTTATCAGCTTCTCACTCACTGATACATTCTTTCAGGAAATGTTCATTAAGTGCCTATTATAATACATAAGATCCTGTTAAGTAGCAACAAAGAGGGAAGATAAAATCTCTACCCTGAAAGAATTAGCATCCAGCACGTCAGTCAATTCAGTAAAGAATTGTAATAAAGTGTGATAGCAATAGAGAATTACCCAAGAAAATTTCTTCTTGACTTACTATCCTAGGAATAACTTTATAAAATATGAACCTTTTCATTAAAAAAAAAATCAGCCTCTAGAGATTGTTAGCTCTACATGTCTATGACATTTGAAACATGAAACCTGAGTATTTTCTTAGTTTGTGTACTCTACATTTAAGATTGAACACTAGGGATTACGGAGAAAGCACAGCTGAAGGT